CGGAAAATGTTTACCTAGGTAAGTAAACTCTAGTACCTCGGTAAACCGTTCAAGTCTAAACACAGCATTAAAAATTCAAGGGGGTAAAAATTTGATAATAGTAGCACTTAAAATGATCAAAGACATCGAATGCACAGTTTGCCATGATTTTCGGTCTTTTAAAAGATTTCGCTCTTAAGATCTCATCCTCCGGTTTTGTCCGCTGTTGAAGTTTTATCAGTTGTTGTTTTTTTTTGGGGGGGGGGCGGTGGGGGTCCGTTTTCTAGTTTGACTATTATTGCCTACTTTTTCCACATGAAGAAGTTGTGGTGCGAGGATTTCGAGAGGCGATCATATTGCATCATCGATAAATTAGAACAAAAATGCGACTAGCTATTATGACAATTTCGGGTCTTTATTAGTATGGCGGCGGAGACTCGAACAAAACAGTCAAAAGAAACTATTTTCGTTATTATAATACACAATGTGTTGCTGACAATTGCTTTTAACAAAACAAGGTCCGGCCAGGTCTCTTGTCCTATAGTCTTTCACGTGATCAGTTCTCTTCTAAACCAACGCGGCGAAATGTAGCTTAATTTTTTAAGTCTCGGCCTGAGAACACGGAGAGTCTATTGGACTTAGATAGGTATCTGCCTCGATATTTCTGAAATTCGCAGAAGTTGTAATTTCATTGATGTTAAAGTATATCTTCCTTCTTTTATCCCAGCACGAGGCAGCACCGTGTTTTTAAACAAATTGGCAGACGATCAATTTACCACGCAAACATATCAACGGAATGAAGACGTGAAGCAATGTTCGAGTTCATTCTTCCTTCCACCTACACAACTGAGCCGCCAAGAAGAAACTTGCTATCTTGTTTTTAGAGACTCCTACCACGCATTTTTGATCGAAATCATCCACTTTAAAGTGCACGTGCCACTAACCCCAAAACGTTTTTTCGGTAATATAAATTTCCTTTTTCTCCTGATTACCACTGCGAAAAAATTATCGTTGTAGCTATTTTCGTTAATTTTCTATGAATTTTTAAAGTTTGTAAATTTGCCCTTTTCCATGTTCACGACCGAGGAATAACGGAGAATGGGACGAGTTGACTTCTGACGTCACTTCGGGAATAACAGTACAGTGGAACCTCGATTTAACGAAGTCGCTGGGGACCGGCCAAATTTGTTCGTTAAATCGA